GCTTCAAAACCTGTTTGTCGTGAAGTGCTCACTCTTCTGTCCGAAGAGTGTTCAGTGTCATTTATCTGACATCACAAATCAACATTTTCATGGTACAATGAACTCTTTAATCACAAAAGATCAAGATTTTACAAAAGATCACCACTCTATGAGGAATTGCACAACACATCATGACATTTCAATCTTATGACCCCAACCGAACATTAGTATAAACATTGCTTAACAAATCTCTAACCTTTCCTCAAATAGTTACTGGTTTGTACACTTGACTAAGCATATTTACATGGTACATGATTACACTTACATAAGCACAGTCTTAATATCTTTGTAATGTCTTATTGTGTGTCTTTTTACATCCTTGTCCTTGCATTGTCTTGATGTTCCCGAGATACTTGTTTAAGGGATTTTTTTCCACATGATGACTTCCTGAAATTCTGGTGAAATTCCTTTGTGTCATTGTAACTGCTTCCAACTTGCGTCATCGCAAATGTACCACAGTGACATGAGTACAGTACTTATGGCTTAGAAAAGTGCATTTCTGAACTGAATTTAGGGGTTTTGTATAGGTTCTAAGCCTTAATATTTTGAACTTACTCTGTACCTAAATATATTACAACATTTCTGATTTATTTTCATAAGAATGACAAATAATTAAATGCAGAGAATTTAAATTACCAGTATTTTGTTGGTACTTGCTAGTAATTACGATGATTACCATTTGGGGTTGTATTGTTATATACTGTACTTTATAGAGACACAAGACGATCTTCTCTTGTGACTATTCTTGTGACTTTCTGCAGTGGATCCTTCATAACAAATGGATGCCATTCATGCTCTAGTTGCTAAGCAAGTAGTAATTTAGCAGATGCTTTTGTCCAAAGCAATTTACAGTATTCTTGACATAAGAGAAATCCTCCTGCAGCAACCTGAGCTAGGTGCTTCGCTCTAGGCCAAGATGGTGATTATCATTCCTTCACCCAGAAGCATTCTGATCACCAGCCCTTAGCCACTAGATCACACCTGCCCTATTTTGTAAATGAATTTGGTTTTGGCACATAATCTAAAACACTTAAAGTAAAAACAAAAAATACATCTCGCAATTCTAACTTTATGTAAAGTAGTTTAGTTAAAGTCACTGTTTTATGAGTGGCAAAATGTTTTTGATGTTTGCTATGATATAAGATGATTTTGAGATGGTTTTATTTTTCTCCCTGTTTCAATACATTTTGGAAATTTGGAGATTTAAAAGTCCAGGTTTGAATGAATACTGAATTACTGCTGCTTTATTATGTTATTGTGCTGCTATATGCAGATAAATGATAATGTTTGTTATTGTATTTGCAGTTTTTTGATGGCATTGAAGCAATTTTCGCAAGCAAGACTACATTTTCTGAACACATCATAAAAATTCACCTTTTTCCAAACATTTCAGCATACTTTAAATCATGTTAGTGTAAAACACAAATTATCCTTTTCACTACACAAAATGTGTAATATTCATCACTATGCATTTTTTTATGAATTTTTAATCTGCTTTTCATAATGCTAAATCTATCAATCTTTTCCTTTGCTTATCTTCTCATTCAGTTAAATGTGTATCATCAGTTAAATTTGTGTATAATTTAATCCAGCTGGTCTTAATTGTTAATCAATAAATCATTTGGTACAGTACATTTATAGATTTCTATATGTGTGCAATTTCCGAAATGAATAACTAAATATAATGAAATAATTACAGTAAAAGGGATTTACTTTGTGTGTCTAAATTGTGTGTGTTTGGTTCAGGTATAACCTACGGTATGATGGCAATATTTTTTTTTTTACACCAGTTTTGTGTGAGGGGTAGATTTAGGGGTAGGGCCAGGGTAAAGGGATATAAAATAGAGTTTGTACAGTATGACACATGGAAACTCAGGAACGTGTGTGTGTGTGTGTGTGTGTGTGTGTATGAGAGAGAGGGAGAGAGTCATTTGTGAACACAGAGCAGTATAGAGATGAAATAATGACTATGTGATCAGATTGATCAGAGATGCATCAGAAGGGAACTGTACCCTGTATTACTAAATATTTAGCAACAAGAGTGATTTGAAACATGTGCCTTGCATTATTTGCTATTTAAATAACTGATTATTAAATAGAAATAAGATTATACTCTTGGTTTTGGTGATTTAACCAGATGTCCTCAGTATAGATTTTTTGAAACAATGATTATGAGGAAAGAAAATATGTGTACGAAAGCATGAAATCAGGTTTTGAAAGAATGACTAGCTGTGTTACAAGTGTAAGATTTGAAGAACCTCAGACACTTTGATCTTCTGAAATATGGACAATATACACCAGGGTTCCTCAATAGGCGGCCCGCGGGCCACATCTGGCCCGTGAGAGAAAAAAGTTTGGCCCGCGCTAATTATTGTTATCGTGGGCACTTCAAAATACTGTGAATAATTCTTTATTACAAATTATTCCGATTTTTTAAATGCATTTAGAGAATATTTTCCCCATCAACTGGTCACAATGCACAACACCGCTGTATGTATACTGCGTGAAAGATGCATGCGCATTCTCATATAAACAAGCACGGATGAGAAGCGCATGGCAGAACGAGTGAAGGAGATGCACTGAATGAAAGCACATTCACTCTCTGACAGCAGATGGCACTAAACTGTAGAAATGCAGCCGTTACCCTGGGAACCCCATAAATCAGGGTTCCTCAATAGGCGGCCCGCGGGCCACATCCGGCCCATGAGAGAAAAAAGTTTGGCTCACGCTAATTTCAAATAATGTGGCATGAAAATTCAAACGCAGCATCAGAAAGCTACATTAACTTACATCGTGTCTACACCGGACGCGAGAGGCGCGATGCAATAAAATACAAGAACTCGTTATAATCAGTCATGCTGTCTTGGATGCGGCGCGACACAATAAATCCCCGACAGAAAACTGCTGACTCGTTCTATTTATAAGAGATCCAGTTTGGGAATGAGCAGGAACAGTTGATTTGCATGGCGGCAGAATTCGGCCCTCGGCGAAAACTAATTGAGGAACCCTGATATACACACACAGTGTATTAACATAAAGGCATTTGTTTCCATGTCTCGCTGACTGATACTGAACTGAAAAGACCGAACACGCAGGAAACCTTCAGCCACCATTGGATACCTTTGTTGGGCCAATTGCGTAGGGACCTTATACAAGTTTGAACAGTTTTGAAAACGTACACCTTGTCTTAATTCATTCAAAAATACATAAAAATGCTGTTCATACATAAAATGACTTGAATACACCTCTTCTTGATATCATGATAAAGAAACATTTTAGCAAAACTGCTACACTTCTTTTAAAATTTTTAAAAAGTTTGCCTGCCAAATCAAAGTAAAATTGTGTCACCAAAAACAATTAATGAACGAATATTTCATGTTTGAAAAAAAAAACAAAAAAAACGCATATATTGAAAATTCAATATTTTCTTAAAAAAAGAAAGGTTTTCAAAACCTTATGAAAGTACTTTGCATGTGTTTGAAACTAGATTTTAAAATAACTTATATTAAGAGACCAAAAGACTGTAAAGTCGTCAAGCTAAAATCCTGTTTTGTCCTTGTGCCCTTGAAGAAAGAACTTAAATAAAGGTTGATCTGATTCACAAACAACAAGTAATTCTCTGTTTGAGGTGTCCTATATTTAGTGTTCTAGTCGGCTCTGACGCCTTCTGATCTCTGATTAATGAGCAAATTTAAAGACAATTTGATGTTAGGCTGACAAAAGGCGTATTCTAAGGCCAACTTTCAGGATTCTGTATTCTTTATTTTGCCGGATCTTGAGATCTGTGACATTGCGACGTCATAATTATGTTAGAGGTGAGAGAAGTGGAGCGAAACCTGAGAGCCAGACTGATCACATCTACACAGCCACTAAACAATCACATCACACAAAACATCAAAGAGATCCTAGATATTGTAAAGGTCAAACATAAGAACAATATACTGTAAATCTAACACAAATATTCTTAAGCACACAACTGGTGTCCCTATATGCTAAAGAAACATTGCAAGTTTTTTATCTTTGGCTGACTTCAATTATCTTTCAATATTTCAATTTTGTGCCTTCAGGTAAAACTCGTAAATGTAAATAAAATGAAAAATAATTACACACACTGACTCACCTATCCTGTGTATGGCTTTTATGATGAGTAATTTGGCTGCCATCTGACAATAAGTCGCCATTCGTAACGCATTGTCTGTGTCTTGGTTTCTAAAGGGTATTATATTCATCATGCCCTATATGTATTATGTGTTCTCTTTTTCTTTATCTGTGTGTTACAAGAAATGAAGCAAGCAGGAAAGACAGTCAGACTAAAAGAAAAAAAGGACTGAAAAAAGGAAAGAGTTGTCATGGTGTCTTAAGATATTTGTCATGCTTGACATTGAAATGCAATGTGAAAACTTTTGACATTAAAGACATTTAAGTTTCGATTTCTTCTGCCATTACACATTTTTTCTTTATTTTTCCTTGTAAATTAACTTGTTTGTCCAGTTTAAATTTCTTCTGGAAAAAAAGGATCCAAATACCATGGTATCAAATGAGTAAAAAAGCTATCAATATACTATTTACAATTTAATATGTGCGACTTCTCTAACAATGACCTCACAAATGTTTGCATTTATCATGACCCTACAAACATACCTGCAATTAATTAACAATGACTAATTGCCAAATTGTGAAAAATGTTCTCAGTGAAGTACGTGTGCTTGACAGCTGTGCATACTAAAAAGAATTTGAAGAGTATGACAAAAAAGGAGTAGGAGAATTAAGAGAAAAGAAGTGGGCGGGTGAGTGACAGATGAGAAGAGCAACCTGAGAAGCTTATAGAACTATATAAAAGGGGTTGTAAGAGTCTCAGAGGACCAAATTAAACACCAGCATCCAATCTGCTCGCGAACACAGGGACTGTGTGAAGATGTGGAGATTAACGTGTGTCACTTTGACCCTGCTCATGTGTGCCAATGGTAAGGTCTCATGGTACTTCTATGAAAGTGAGGATAACTGTGAACAAAGACATTATATAGAAAAACTGAATATATTTTTGCTTTCTACGTGGCACAGCACATAAGAGCAGTCTACGGGCTTTGTTAAAATAATGATGCATTAACATGAAACTTGCAGTTCAGTATCATGTGTTGATTCATACGAACGATTAATTTGACCGGTAACTCCTGGGCTAGTGAGTCATTTTAAATGTTTTATCAAAGAGCTGACTCATAAGAATCATTTGTTCATCAATCAGACTAAACAGGTTGCTGTGTAATCTTCAGCACCCAGTACTCCAGTCTTCAGAAGCATAAGAGCATAAGAAAAAAAAGCATATTCCAAACTTTGATGGCAATTTATATAAATACAAGTTATGCCCACCAACTAACTTGTTAATTGTTATTTATTAGCTAACGATTATTAGTGCAATAATGTTGCACAGGGTCATTATTCAGTGAAAAATTAAGATGAAATTGTTCTAATGCACACTTTATTTCTGCCCTTGCAGGTTCACTTTCTCAGCTGAATGGTAAGAGCTCCTCTTCTAAAGACATCAGCATCAAGTCAAATAGTAGAAATGTAGAAATACCTATGTGAACTATCTCTCTTTCTCATAGTTTGTGGACAGGCTCCTCTAAACACTCGTATTGTGGGTGGTGTGAATGCACCTGAGGGTTCATGGCCGTGGCAGGTCAGTCTGCACACTTCTGGACGTCATTTTTGCGGAGGCTCCCTCATCAACAATGAATGGGTGCTGACAGCAGCTCACTGCTTACCTGGGTAAGATTCACCAAGAGAAATCAAAAGATATTAAAGATAAAATTAAGATATTTTGTCATGCTTAACCTCCAAATGCAAAGTGGCAAAGGCACTTAGGTTTCAATTTGTTTTGCCATTCCAACATTTTCTTTAGTTTTTACCAAATGCAAAAAATATCATATCAAATGAGAAGAATAAATCACTTTACTATATTACAAAATAAAATTAAAAAAAACATATATTTTTTTTGTTCTTTTTTTTTCTATTTTGTCACGTTCACATTCTCTGATTGCTTTCAGTGTCAGCACGTCCAGTCTGCGTGTGTATTTGGGAAGGAGGACACAGGAGGGAGTCAATACCCATGAAATCAGTAGAAATGTGAGAACCATAATCGTTCACCCCTCTTATGACAGCAACACAAACAACAATGACATCGCTCTGCTCCGGCTGTCCTCCACAGTCACCTTTAATAACTATATTAGACCCGTGTGTCTGGCGGCCCAGAGCAGCGTCTTCATTTCTGGCACCAGCAGCTGGATCACAGGCTGGGGAGATGTTCAAGCTGGAGGTACAAAAACTTACAAACCCATTAATTCAAGTATATATCTACTCCTAACATCACTAATAGATGGTTGTGTATGTGTGTTTTGGTGTTCAGAGAGTTTACCTTCTCCTGGGATCCTGCAGGAGACTATGGTTCCAGTGGTGGCTAATGATCGATGTAATACTCTTTTGGGTTCTGGATCTGTTACCAGCAACATGATGTGTGCTGGTTTGACACAGGGAGGCAAAGACACCTGCCAGGTGCAATGAACAAACAGATTTTTGATCTAAGCATGTACAGCTACTGTATAACACACTTCAAGATCTACTGTTTCGCATTTACATTGTCTACTTCGTATAAATGCTTAAAATTGAGTAGCTCCGGTAATGTAAATATTCACTATAAAACAAATCAGTGATATAGAAGGTGACTAGGTTCACACATTGTCATGCCCACAAATACCATCACAGTAACACACAATACTAAAATAATTCAATAAACATTCATTTAACAACACATGTTGTTACTTAAAACTTCTTTTTCTTTCCTCTTGTCCTTCTCTGTAGGGGGATTCTGGAGGTCCAATGGTGAGCAGGCAGTGCACAGTGTGGGTTCAGTCTGGCATCACCAGCTGGGGTTATGGCTGTGCTGATCCCAACTCTCCTGGTGTTTACACACGTGTGTCTCGATATCAGAGTTGGATCACCAACAGAATTGGTCAGAACCTGCCAGGATTTGTCGCCTTCAACCCCCCGACCTCATGCTCCTCTGCCAGCCTAAGTAAAAATCTCTCTCAAACACCTACACAGCGTATACCCACGTCAGAGAGCATACTTGCTTGACTAACGCAAAATTATTTGTATGTGCAGCCTCAACCTCCTGTAGGGGGAGATGCAATGAGAAGTACAACAGTCGCTTTCGCTGCAACTGCAATACTAACTGCAGTATAAACTGCTGCAGAGATTACAGACAGCGTTGTGCCAGTAAGTTCAAACACATTCATTTCAGTAATACTTAATTCACACTTAAAAATGTTGTTGCATTAGAAACAAAATATCACATTATTTGGCATCTGCATACAAATTATGCTAGTCATTTTTCTCAGCTTACTTCACTTTTTTGAGCAATTTTTGCCATCATGTTTAAATGTGATGTATGTATGAAGTCAATGTTTTTAATGTGTTTCCAGTTCTTTTTGTGAAATGTCCTACTTGAAAAGTGTTTCTTTAAAATCAATGCCACTTGCTTTGATATTTTGATACATAATGCAGACATACAAATCTGCATATATTTTACATACCCAATACCCATTTTTAATTACTGCACTCATAGCTATACTAAATAAATTAAACATACTTTGCATGTCCAAAAAGTAAACACCAAAACTGATTCTTGCTCAATCCCATTACTTATATTTTTGTTTTTGTGTCTCTGCAGTGTGAGGTATGTCATACTTCCATGGATTATATATGATTACAGGCTTATAATCACGTCACTTGCACCTAAATTGAATGATTTTTATCTGCTTGTTCGGAGAGAAGATTTTTACTTGAGTGCCGCTTTGGATGCGTTGCACAGTCAGAAATAAACACAGTCAAAGAGCTGCTGCACTGACTTATACTCAGGGGTGTAAATGCATATTGTTCGTGTTCAACATATGTTTAACAACATCACCATAAGTAGAATCCTTGTCTCATTTGTTTTTCTCTCTCTAGTTCTAGCATGTAATTGTTTAGCATTAATTGTAGGCATGGGTAACTTTTTTTCCTTCATTTAGCATTTGCACTTTTCTTATATTAAAAAATGTGTTATAATTATCTAATATTTAAAATTGATTTTCTCATTTGTGATTTCTGCTGACAAACAAGTGGGCACGTCTTTAAGTTTCAATACATTTTTGTCACACAATACTTCAAAGCATTGTCTGTCTTTTAATGGCTTTTCTTGTAATAAATCTATCCAACAGGAGTGTACTGCATCAAAATGTAGCACAAACCACACATTTCGTTGGTCTTATGCAACTGGCCCACTTTGCATTTTATTCAGGCATCATACAATTTTATATTTTTATAACAGTGAACTGATAAAACTGGTCATGTCAAAATCAATAGTAACATAATGATCAGAAAAACTATTAGGAATATATTAGAATTCATAATGAATTATTATCTGTGGTCACACTTTATTTTAAAGGGGTCATATGATGCGATTTCAATTTTTTCTTTCTCTTTGAAGTGTTACAAGCTCTTGGTGCATAAAGAAGATCTGTAAAGTTGCAAAGACTAAAGTCTCAAATCCAAAGAGATATTCTTTATGAAAGTTAAGAGTTAACCACGCCTACCTAAAACGGCTCGTTCTAACACGCCCCCACATGTCTACGTCACGATGTGGGAAGATTTGCATAACGCCGCCCAAATATTCACGCAAAGAAAGAAGATGTAACTTTTATTCTCGCTGTAGTATTGTTGCTGCCGCCGTCGCCATGTCGTGAAGACGCTGTGTTTAGTTGTGAAAGCGAAAATACTTTGTTTGGCCTTCCAAAAGAGGACGATATCCACTTCATCATGCCTGGAGCTGATCCGTGCTGATCGCTGAGGAAATACATCAACTTCGCGCTGTGGATCGCCGGATCGGCTTTCACCGTGGACGAAGCGGAGTCCAGCCCAGGGTCGTCACATGTGGTTGCCGCTCCTTCGT